TGTGTGTGTGTGTGTGTGTGTGTGTGTGTGTGTAAATGAGCACCTCTGAAATAGACAATAAATATCAGTCTGCCCGGCACACTTGGAGTTAATGCTTGAAATTTGAGGCACGTACAGTACAAAGAAAGCTGCAAGCGGAAGAAAATAAGCAGGCTGTAGTCTGGCAGCTGCTGTGTCTGTTCTCTATACTTGGGTGTCGTTCTGCGTGTGCGAGAGTGTACATGAATGTGTAGATGTGTTTATAAGCTCGTCTGTGAAAGCGCGCCTGTGTGGGAGTGCACTGTGCCTGCCTTGCTTTGTCCATATGAATCAATGTGTTTGTATTGAGGGAAAGCGAATTATTGGCGACAGCAGTAAATAACATAAGCCAGCTATTTATTTTTTTTTTTTTCTTCCTTCTCTAAGAAATGGACGTATACTGTACATACCCTCACATAGACATGACTCATGGGAAATTATATGAAATTTCACTCAGGTTTCTTGATATTTACTGCTGGCACACAAGCAATTATACACCGTGTTCCACCGCAGAGCTACAAACGCAGCGCAGACAGAGAGACGTGTAATCCAATTTCCTTTGTATTATTGTTATTGGTAGATGTCAAAACGCTTCGCAAAGGTATTTTAAATCAGTGCACTATTTCATACTTAAGAATAGCTCCATTATCGTACGAACCCATGCCTGCATGAAACGCACGTTTGAATTTGAGGTATCCAGCCACAGTTATTAGTGGAGGAAATAATACTTTTTTAAGCAGTTCAACACTCTTATTTCATTTTAACCTGCACTCTGAGGGACATTAAAGCTGATGGGTAATTCATTTATTTTTCCATCCCACTATATTCTCTTGGGTTCCCTGAGCATGGGCCCTCCTTCTTGATGGAAGAAACAGACTTTGAAAATCGTTTGAGTTTCAAACTCACTTGTTAACTTTCCCAGTTCCTCTTTCATTAGAAGGTGATTACCACCCAGGAGCAGTATTTCTGTCTTCAAATGACATGTATTATTTATTTTTTTACTATAGAAATTAATAAGTCTCACACAAAATGGGGGGAAAAAAAAACCTTGAATCTCCAAAGCAGCATTGCTTCACATCATTATGAGATTATTCCATGACAGACCAGGGGACTAGTGAGATCTAACGGTTCTAAAAAAAATTGATGTGGCAAATTAGCCGAAAAGAAATGCTAAACGAGCGTTCCCTTACCTTTCCCCCCCCCTCCTTCCCTCGCAAGATAAACAGCACCTGGTAATGTGAATGAAACATTACCCTGATGAACAACCACGTGGCGCCTACTGAAAGTGAAGTCATTAAGCATAATATAAAAGACTCACACGCCGTCGGTTTTCATTTGTCAACCCGGCATGACTACCGAGTCCTGCTAAAAGTCTCATCTCGGCTCCGTGTGTGTGTGTGTGTGTGTGTGTGTGTGTGTGAGCGTGGGTGTTCCTGAGCGCTTACAATACAATGTGTGCATATGCTCCGACAACAAGCCGTGCCCCGTCTCGCCGTTTCCTCGAGCTGGATTCCCGTCTCACCGTCTGTCATCAATCCGAGCCCTATGACCCCCCCAGCGGTAATAACAGAACCACCGAGATACATTCAAGTGCAACAAAGAGTGGGGCGTCGAAGCTCCCGACGAGGTTATGCCAAAGTGTGCCCCGACTCTTGGGCGGTACTTTGGAGAATATCTCTCGATGCATTCGCACTCTGACAGCTAATTGAAGGTTCTCTCTCCTCCTCCCCACCTCTCCCCCCCCCCCACGGGGGCTGCGTGCAGCAGTCACATAATAATCAGGGATCCTGTCCTGGTTTTTGCTACACGGCCCCAACATGGGGTTTTCTTTTTTGTTGTTGTAATCAAAGGAGTATTGTGCGGGGACGGCATTCAGTGGTAGGAGGCATGTGTCGCCGCAGTCGAAGTCTACAATATTTTTTCCATGCTTCGAATCACAAAAGGTATTAGAAAATAACGGAACTACCAACGGATCAATGGCCGTCCCTCACAGCGGCTGCTTAGAAACGTATCCACTTAAGACATCTCTGTGACAAAGTGACTGCCTGAGAGGAAGGTCCCTTTTTAATACCTCTGGGTTAATTCCTCCAAGCTCCCTTTGGATCAAATTAAACCAAGCTATGGCATAAAGGTAATGAGATTATTGTGTTGCCGGCAGGATTACGGGCTGACACGCTATGTACACGGGAGCGGCAATGGTCAGGGAGGTTGTATTGTTTATGCTCGAATATTCCTTAGGAAGTGGAGCCTACGTTCCCATTAGTCTCCTTTTCACACAGGAAAGAGGATTACAGACATGGGATGAAACCGCAGACAGGATTATTTTAGCCCGTGTGCCATTTTCATAATGGCTCTTGTTAATGAAGCTCTTTAACGTATAGCATTGTTCAATGACGGTGCTCACTGAGAACATTTTTTTTTTAGCAATGCCAACGCAGCTTTTCTGCCTCGTGCACCACAGACATCGGCCTCGCAAATCCCCTCCTCAACCTTTTCCAGAAGTGAAACCCATCCAGTTTGCTACTGGCCGGCAAATGGCTTTAGGAGAGCCAAGCCCATTAATTCTAACATCGTATTGACTAACAATAATCATCCGAGCTGATGATAGCAGGTAGCAAAAAAAACAAAACAACAAAAATCTGTAAAGACATTTAAATGTACATGTTGTGACTCGAGCACGGAGCTCTGCATCCCAGCGAGCCATGACAAGCTGCCCTCTTGAGTGAATGAGGGGTGTGGACAAGACACAGTTGTTAGTTGACATGCTAAAGGAATGTGCTTGGATTACAGCACATGCCTCTTTGATTTATTATCTCCAGTTGAGAGCCTTTTATCTTAAATCATGCTGTCAAGCGGCGATTCCTTTTCATTTTATTTCTGCCGTCACTCTAAACTCCTCATTCACAGAATCTGGGATCTTATCTGACCGTCTTTCATATTTTGGAAGAAAAATCCATAAAGGGCCCCAAGGTTTCTCGGGAACCTGCAGAAAGTTTGCCAAGCAACCCAGACAGAGATGTTTAAAAAAAAAAAGTAAATTATAGTTATTTACACAATGAGTTGACATATTCAACATTACATGCTGTAGTCATTTGCAAAGCTTTAATTCTTTTTTTGCTTGAACCTGTTGAGTCCTCTTAGTAAGTCATGACAATATAAGGGGTATAGCAGTAAAATGGTATTGGTGCAGAATAGAGACAGGCATTTCTCCCAGGCAGCTAAATGCTGGTTCTGAAAGGACACTAAGCACAGGTTGTCTCTCAACCGCTGTGACGGGCCGTGTAGCCGAGAATTCCACTGTGTGGAGTAAAAGGATGTAGGTAGGGGAGGAGGGACGAGAGCAGACGAGGCTCAGGTGAAGCCAGCCGGCCACATCTGCCTTCAACGGCCAGTCAGCTGTGTACACCTTTGTGTCAATGGTGTGCGCGACTGTTTTGTTGGTTGTATTGTGTACGTGTATTTCGTGTGTGTGTGTGTGGAGTTCTAAAGCCCCCGACAGGAGGGAGCACAGAGTCATCTCCTCTGGTCAATACAGCCTAATTCGCCACAGGTAGCAGCCAGCCTCAAAGGTGATTTCCCTTCAGCTCAACTGTGCTGAAGCCTCTCATCTACAGCGTGGGGCCCGTGGTGCTGGGAGTGTGCGCGTGCGTGTGTGTGTGTGTGTGTGTGTTTTTGTGTGAGCTATCAGCAAGGCCCATTTTCAAAAGGATGCATTATATACGGAGGTGTTGCCGCCCGGGGTCCGGCCGCCTCTCTGCTCCAATCCACCGGAAGACAAAAATCGTCTCCAGCTCAGCCCCGCTGTTCTTGAATCTTCCTGTCATCACCTTGTGCTCCTCCGTCAACCCCCCCCGCCCCCCCACACACACACACACACCCACCCCTCTTCTCCTAATTTCCCCCCGTCCTGCCCCCTGACATCCTGCTCTCCGTCGCTCACGCCTCTCACCAACGTCGGTGGTACTTCCGAGGACGACTGCGCTCAGCACAAGCAGTGCAACCGCACCTCTTCACATTCTCGGCATGCTCTGCAGGCAGCGTAATGGAGGAAATCAAAGAAGTCAAATGGGATTAGATTCAGGGTGCACGTTGCATTCCAATCAGAGGCCCTTTCCATTGATATAGCTCATCCTTTAGAATTCAACCCGACAGAGAGTGTGTGTGTGGGGGGGGGTCATCTTTTCTTCTGATGTATTGGTGGATATGGAGCAGATTTATATCAAATAGTTAGTTTGTCAACATTTTATCTGTGACGTCCCCCTGTGTGTGTGTAATTCCAGTGCTACCCACACTTCTGTGGCGTATCACATGAAAAATGTCTTCATAGTTTTTCCCTCAGTGGCTCATGTTAAATATAAAGAGTGCACTATTTCCTCGTTCCCAGGACTGAAACATATTGTTTTTGCCTGCGGCATTGCATGAGTTACTGCACACCTGCTTTATCGGCGTATGAGTTGTAGCAAGGAAAAAACTCTAAAATGAATGTTCAGGCACCGTGGCTACATATACAGGTTCCGTGTTAGTGAAATCTAATCAGCCGTGCCACAAAATCTCCCAGGCGAGAATGATCGCCAGGCAGGATGATTTTACTGTAATTATTGTCTTGTTCGCTGCAGACTGAGTGCCTTGGATAAACTAAAGTTGACGGGAATGCAAATATGCTTTTTTCTCAAAGCACTTAGCGGCAATTGACACAACAGGATCCTTGGATTTATGATCATTGCAGTGAACAACAAGTAGATGAAAAATAAAGATATAAATGTGGCAAGGGACAGCTTTAAGGACATATGCCCACTAGAAGGTCAAGGTTTGTGTACCTGCCCAAGCAAAATGCTTCATAATGCACTGTAGAGGTGCCACAATAATTACCTGGCCTCACGCAGAAACTGCAGGTCAAACTGCATCATGTTTTCATGTCACATGACTCCACAAAATGTTTTACCTCTGTACCCTCCTGTGTGTGTGTGTGTGTGTCTTCACAGCTCCACCGCTGTCAGAAGTCACCATGTCTCCTCAGCCTCAGAAAACTACAACCACCACCACCAGCGCCACAACAACCGCAGCGCACCGGGGTGTAGCCAACACTACCACCACAACAGGGCTCAAGGAGGGCAGCAGGGGAGCACCCAAGCCGCCTCCTGTGATTCCGCAGACTACTTCCCCTCCGCCCCTCGAGTCCTTCCCTTTACCCGAGCGCTTCTGCGAGGCCACTGAGAAAAGAGACATAATGTGGCCTCAGACCCAGAGGGGCATGCCCGTGGAGCGACCTTGCCCCAAGGGGACACGAGGTAAACAGGGCTCCTACTCGCTCTCTGTTTTCAATATGACCCGAGGCGCCCCGGGAGAGCGTCCCGTTTAGAGTCTGTGAGATGTGTCCGATCATCTTTTCACGTACAAGTGCATCGGGTTTGGAGCGGGTGTTCAGGGGGGGAATTAGCGTGAGGCTGTTTCTGATGGTTCTTTGTTTTAGCTGTGCCATTCCAGGTCGAACACATGATTCAGTCGTCTGTAACGGCTGCTTTCTTCAGAGGAGCGGGCGCAGCAGCTCGCGTGGAGACGTGCGCACACCTCGTTTGGTTGCATGTGAAATCGCGTTAGTGCTCAGAGTTTAACAGGCACAGGGATTATTAGGGCAGGGGGAAGAATTGTTGCCACTCTGTCGTAAAAAAAGGATGGAGCTGTTACGAAAAATATTGATGATTTTCTGTTGTTTACCGTGTCCAACTATTTCAATCTAATTCATCCTTTGCCAGTATTCAGACAGTATTACCAGATATCCTTCGGGGCTGATATTTCTGTGTGCACACACAAGCCGACATTCTCTGGCTGGATTTTGTAATTTGATTTTATTTGCTTAAAGTTGAAGTACGTTCTTGTTTTCCCTTTCAGGCACGGCCTCTTATTTGTGTGTTCTTTCCACTGGGGCCTGGCACCCAAAGGGCCCTGATCTCAGCAACTGTACCTCCCACTGGGTCAACCAAGTAGCACAAAAGGTTTGTATGCGCTCTGCGGAAGTGAAATGTATACAAAATAATGTGAATCCATCCTTGTGACAAAGATGACTGCAAACGTTGGCGAGATGAGCCCGGAAACTGCATTTATCAGCTCTAAAAAGATGTGTTTTTTCAGAAAAGAATATGTTAACATTGCAGATGCATCGGTAATAATAATAGCTAAATGAAAGGACAAGAAAAATGAAGTCTGAGCAGCACAGGCAGATATATGCCTTGCATGAAGGGTATGAATTAGTAGCAGCAAGCAGCTCTCGTGCACCTGTTTTTTAACTTACTCCACAGTATAAATACTGCCGTCGTGGCAACCTCTTTTACGTAAATCAAAATACTAAACCCCCCCCTTTTCATAACTCCGATTTCAAGGAGTCACTCAAGTGGGAATTGATGCTGGAAACAGGGCTGTACATAAATCCTCCAACTCTGTCTCCTAGCATTCGTGTGACCCTTTTTTCACTCCCCCCCCCCCCCCTTCAGATCCGCAGCGGTGAGAATGCGGCCAACTTGGCCAACGAGTTAGCCAAGCACACCAAAGGCCCCATCTTTGCCGGTGACGTCAGCTCCTCTGTGCGCCTGATGGAGCAGCTGGTTGACATCCTGGATGCGCAGCTGCAGGAGCTCAGACCCAGTGAGAAGGATTCTGCAGGACGGAGCTTCAACAAGGTAAAAAAAAGAAAAGGCTGAAATCATTCTCTCACCAATTCTCACTTTGTGCATATTTCTGCACAGGTTAATGATGAATGCAGAAAGGAATACATCGTGCTCCAAAATAATGCGGTAGAATGAGTATTAGTATTCGATGCTTTTGTTACATGTCGCCTGTCTCTTCAAGTTCAGGAAAGACGGACAAGTCGTACAACGCAGTGTTTCCACCAAGAAGCTCATGCTCATGAACCTGTGAAAATTATTATGTGTCTCTACATTTTATCTGTTCTTTTTCTTTTCTAATAAAAAAAAAAAAAAAAAAAAAAGCTTCAAAAACGAGAAAGGACATGCAGGGCGTACATGAAGGTACGGGAGCAATGCCTCTGCCCGCTCTGCTTGCTGCCGTCCCCTCCTCCATTCCTGTGCTACTGTATACGCCCCGGTCCAAGTTCAGCAGCATGTACCCTCTGCACTGTCATGTACTCCCCCTTCCCTGTGCTTCCCGCCTTTTTTTTTTTTTTTTGAGTAATTGCCTTACACACACAGACACAATCGTACACAAAGTGCTGTCTAAAGTCAAAGAGAAGTCACGTTCAATTACCGATGTGGCTCCCTTACTCGGATGTGTCTCTGTGTTTTTTTTTTTCCAACCCCTCTTTGCGTTGAAAGCGATGGTGTGTTTTGTTTTTCATTCTGTTTCTCCCTATTGTATGTTTACTCGAGATTGCACGTCTGGATGCATAACACCACAACATCAGGCAAACAACCTGATCTCACATCCGTCTCATTATTCATTTGTTAGAGGATTTCCCGCAATGTTATATCTTTTGCTTTTATACAAGAGCTCCATTCAATATCAAAAAAACTACTTGAATATTGCATAAAACACCCTTGTGATTTATTGTAGAAGCAGCCCCCTCACGCTTCTGGCACTATTTCAGCCTACTTCCAAGGTTCATGAAGTATTGAAAATTGTGGTTCCTGTTTAACAAGGACATCGGTTTTAAGTCATTGAAGTCATTTGTCTCATAAATGAAACGTGCACATCTTCAGCTTTATCTTATTAATAGGGCCAATCCATTTTTCTTTTACTTGAATGCTGGTTGCATTCGTACATCAGATTAGTATTTTGGTCATATATATCCTTCCACCATTCGGAAAATCAGTGTCCTTCACCTGCCAACAAAGTCACCCCCCCCCGTCCCCGGATCCAAATCGGTCCTTCGGGAGGGTATTAAAATGGATCGGGCTAATTAGCCAGTCAACAGCCGAAAGTTCATAGGAAGGAAAATGGAAGATATAAATGTATTGGGCTCACACCCCCTCCCCCAAAATCTTGGCATTTTGTTTTCATCATCAAGGAGTAATGTCACAGTAGATCAGTGGCGGCCGGATACAAAGTGTTAGAGAGGTTGTGTCGATGTAAATGGCTGCATTTATTTGTCGAATGACAGCACGAGGGGATTTGGGACCAAGATCGCTGAGTCAGCGGTATCGGACATCTGCCGCAGTTGACGCAACATCACTATAGCTGCGCCCCCCCCCACCCCAACCCTTCCACCAGCCGTCGCCGGCATCGATTACCAGATTAGACACATTGATTTGATTATTTCCTGAAGAAAAGTCAGTGTGGTCTGGATCCCACGCCCGGTTTATCCTCCGTTTGTCCTGTGCTGTTCCTGTTCCTGTGTGAGACTGAATACAATTCAATCAAACTATTTTAAATACTTTGCAATTAGATCATTTTAATTATGGAAAGCTTTGCAATTTAACTTTAATATATATTTATTCTTCACATTATTTATTATTATTAATATTTTACTACCCTACTTTTGGATAGACCTAATATAGTGATAACGCGAATGAATCAATTGCCAAAACAATGTGTCTCTTATTCTGTAACTGTGTGTAATTACTAGCTTTGTCAAACCAATAACTAAATGTCCCCTCAGCGTCTCCTTTTATTTCACCACGTTCATCTGAATCCTCACGGATGTGATGTTTCCGCGCGGCCTTTCATCCATTCCAGCGTTTGCATGTCTCTCTCGCTCTGTCTCTCTGTCTCTCTCTTGCCTATTGCTCGGACTCACGATTCTTCTTTACTCAAGCGGCTTTTTTTTTGTGTGTGTCTGTTTGTCCGTCTGCTTTCGGCACAGGCCATCGTGGACACGGTCGATAACCTTCTGCGACCGGAGGCCTTGAAGTCATGGCAAGACATGAACAGCACGGAGCAAACGCACGCGGCCACCATGCTGCTAGACACTCTGGAGGAAGGGGCCTTTGTGCTCGCCGACAACCTCATGGAACCGGCCATCGTCAAAGTTCCCGCCGACAACATAAGTGAGTAAACGACTTTGTGGTGCGCGAATGACCCGAGTTTCTTGATTGATGGCGGCTCGTTGAATTCGATTACTTTCAATTCATTGAGAGGGTAACTCTTGCGATGGGAAAACAAGGCGGGCACATAAAAAAGGGCTTTGTTTTCATAATAAGCGTTCAGGCCTCGGGGTGGTGGTGGGTGGGGGGGGGGGGGGACGGAAAAACACGCATATTAAGCTTTACGAGTCGCCTAACTGACCAAGTGATGAATATCAGACAATTAAATAGACTGGATTCTCTGATTGCGCACGCTTAGTTTATAAATGTATGCGTCTAGACCTTGTAACTCTATACATTAATGTGAACATTAGCCTGCTGTGGAGTCTTGAAAAGCACATTGTTTATCCACTGCCTCCGTATCTCATTTTCTTCTGCTTTCAGACCATGTAAGGAAATCGGCTCCTTAGTTGTTTCCTTCTCTGCAGTTCGGTTTTATTCATATTAGTGAGGCTCTCACATGGGTTGAAATGATGCTTTCCGCGATTGACGTCTTTCATCGTGACCATGTAGCGCTCAAGCCATTGAAGTGTCCTTCGGTCTGTGCCAAGATTTGGGTTCAAATATCCGGAAGAAAACTTTCAATACTCTTCTTGTGTGCCCTTGTGTCAAACCGTTCGTAATGATCAATATTCAATGTCCTCTCACCGTCAACTCATCCTCTGCTTTCCTGCACCTGGCAGTCCTGGATGTGTATGTGCTCAGCACCGATGGCCAGGTCCAGGATTTTAAATTTCCACAGTCGAGCAAAAGCAGTATCTCAATCCAGCTGTCTGCCAACACTGTCAAACTCAACAGTCGGAATGGTAAGCTCTCTGAAACATACCTAAAGAAGAAAAGAGAATGTTCTGCTTACTCTAGAAATGCTTATTGAATATATTTGTTTGACTTTTGCTCCTATTCTTGCTTCTGTGACAGGGTATATATTCTGAAAAAATGAAACATTTCTTCAAGAAGCCCTGTGCATTTGACTGAAAAATAGGAGTATTTTTAAAAGCCTTATCTCTTTATCTGTCAATCATCTTTCACCCGGTGTGTTTGTTAAATAGTTTAAATTGAATTCCATTAGAATAAATTTGAGTTTTCAAACATTGTTGGTCTTCTTCTTTTCACCACAGCTTTCTTCTTCACAAGTTGTCTAAACTGGAATCCCGATTTTTTTTCTTCTTCTTCCTCTCACTTCTTTCACTTTCCGCAGGAGTCGCCAAGCTTGTCTTTGTGCTCTACAAAAATCTGGGCCAGTTCCTCAGTGCAGAGAACTCCACCATCAAGATGGCCAACGAGGCTTACGGGCGCAACGTGTCGGTGGCCGTGAACTCTGACATCATCGCCGCCTCAATCAACAAGGAGTCCAGCCGCGTGTTCATCAACGACCCAGTGATTTTTACCCTGGAGCACATCGATGTAAGTCCCCTCGCTAGAGCAAATGGGAGAGGTCATATTAAAAACACCAGGAGGGAAGATCCAGACTAGACGGAGATCTACAATTTGAATTGTAAATGTCTGGCTAGGTCAGGCGGCAGTTTATTTAAGTCATTGAACATCAAATTAAAGTAGTCTTTAGAACCTAAGTGAATTCTTAATGAAAACTAATTCCTTAATCAACATCGGGATATAAATGATACCCATTTTCTTTTATAGTGGGGGGAAATTAACTCCTAGATTAGCCGTACAATCTAGGATGAAATTACTGGAGCACCAATTATCTTTCGTCTTTTAAAGTTGTCACCAGAGTTCCCAGAGGGCCATGCGTGAGTCCACTCTTTATCAGAGGAATTGTGCAATTCCAAAGACATGCCGTCAAACAATTATGCTTCTCTGTTATTAAGGCCTCGCCTGTGCTTCGGTTGATTTGGCAAGCATGTGCCAAATGACACCCAACATATGAATTGCTTCGTAAGAGCTGTGAAGTTGTACACAGCTGTAAATCTTCATCTATATAACTGCAGAAACATACTTTGGATGAGTAAAGGGGGGGGGGGGTAAATGGCCCCTGTGTTCTACATGAACTTCAATTTCAGGCATTCAATTATTTGGACACTTAACCATATCTCTTGTTATCTGCAGATGGAGCACTACTTCAACTCCAATTGCTCCTTCTGGAATTACTCTGAGAGGAGTATGATGGGCTACTGGTCCACACAAGGCTGCAAACTCCTGGACTCCAATAAAACTCACACCAGCTGCTCCTGCAGCCATCTCACCAACTTTGCCATCCTCATGGCGCACCGTGAAATCTCCGTATGTTCCCATCCATTTTTTCTTCTTTTCTTTTTTTTTTACATCCTCCAGTTTTCTTTCATACCCTCCCCTAGTCCTTTTCCTAATTTCATAAGGGAGCCCAAAACCCCGGACATCGTTGCTTCTTGGTTTGAATTGCAATCTTACAGGATGACAGTAATCACAGCGGGGTCCAGAGGGTGATACGTGCATAATGCGTTCTTAATTTGGTAAAACCCACATTGCAATCTGCACGGCAGAGGAAAGATTTTTCCTTAAAAAACCACAACCCCTCACAAACCCTGGTGTCCTACAGAAATCCTACAGACCTCCTTTATTCAAATGCAATGCAAGATTTGAATAAGGCTCCCTAGCTAATCAGTTCCCAACACGTTTCGCTTGATTTTCTTAAAAGTAGCAATGTCCACTTGTGAACCTCCTGTGTGTGTGTGTGTATATATATATATATATATATATATATATATATATATATATATATATATATATATATAGCTGTAATATAAAAAAGGGCTTAGCCAAGTTCATCAAATCAGGGATTTCTGATTTTCAGAAAGATTTTTAAAGACGTAGTAAAAAGTATGCAGTACTTAATAACAAAAAAAGAATCATCATCATTTGGTTTGTGGCCCCGTCCCCTATATGTTTGCCCCCCCTTTGGAGTCTTCTTTTACTCTCATGTCAGTATCAGTTTAGAAGATTTTGATATTTTTATTAAATAAGCGCAAATAATCATTCAAAATTAACTGAATTGGAATCCCAGTTTCATGATTCCAATTAGTTCACAATATATAATTCAAAATAAATTGTGTAATACTATTTCTATTTGGTAGTCAATTGTATTTCACACAAAAAGCTGAAAGAAAGTAAATGTGGATGTCTGGTCTCCAAGCGCATTTTTTAAAATTCTTCGCTTACGTTATACTTCTCCTTGTAGGGCAACGACCGAGCGCATGAACTGCTCCTAACCGTCATCACTCGAGTCGGGATCGTGGTGTCCCTCGTCTGCCTCACCATCAGCATCTTCACCTTCTGCTTCTTCCGGGGCCTGCAGAGTGATCGCAACACCATCCACAAGAACCTGTGCATCAATCTCTTCATCGCAGAGTTGATATTCCTAATTGGTATCGACATGACGGAACCCAGGGTAAGCTGGAATATTGATTTGAGTTTGATTAAATATCCCTCACTTTATCTCCTTTGCCCTCCCCACCTCCAAAACAAACAAAAGAAGGGGGAAATGAAGGAGACATTAATGGGCCTTGTTTGCTTCTAGCCTTCTCCGCTTGTCCCCGACATGACGTGAGCAGCACAGCACCATTAGTGTAGATTGCCATGGGGCGACGTCTTCCACTGAGCAGCCCCCCCCCCTCTCAGTCAAAGCCTCTGCCTGGTGGCTGACCGTGCATCCGCACCCTTTTGAGCTTTTTATTTCACTTACATCTTTTTCATAGAAGAACTAAAACGTTTTCCCGCATGCATAATATCGTCATGATTTAATCTGCTATCACTACCCTTACAATACAAACGGTACTCAAACGTTTGCCGTGCCGACGGAAAGCTGAACCTGTGCATAGTCAGAGCCCATGTGGTGAATGAATATTCATTACTTTTTTCATCAATTCCACCGAATGGCTGAGACAGCAGCGGTTTCAGTGGCTTTTTTAATAAAAGATATGGGCATATGATATACAATTTTCAATAAAGAAACTGTTATAGAGACCCCTCGTGTCATGTTTAAATCATCTAAAAGAGTTAATCTAAAAGAAATCCCTCCATTTTATAGAAGCTATTATTGCACCGTTATCGATTATTCTTATATTCCTCCCGTATTAGCCTTTTGGTGGTTTCATTTGGTTATTGTTATCACTCAGATTGGATGCGCCATCATTGCGGGGATCCTCCACTTCTTCTTCCTGGCTTCCTTCTCCTGGATGTGTCTGGAGGGGGTCCAGCTGTACCTTATGCTCGTTGAGGTCTTTGAGAGCGAATACTCTCGGAAAAAGTACTACTACGTGTCCGGTTACCTCTTCCCTGCCATTGTGGTCGGCGTCTCCGCAGCTATCGACTACAGGAGCTACGGGACCAAGAGAGCGTGAGTGCAGCTTTCTCAGCAAATCCTCAGCCACTGTGCGTGCGTGCGTGTGTGTGTGTGTGTGTGTGTGTGTGTGTGTGTGTGTGTGTGTGTTTGAAAAGAAATCTCATCGTTCCTGCCTGGGCTTTACATGCATCCCCGGAGCTACTGAAACATTTGAGCTCCTTTTGCCAGGAATGGGCCTCTGATCAATTTTTTATGTCATTTGATAGTGGCTGACAGACCCAACACTGTGGTTTCAGAGGGGCTGGTGGTGCGGGAGGGGAGGGGGGGACGCAGCTACGTTAATGCCTTTCTGCTTAAAGACCCTCCTGTGACCTCTTGTTTGTAAATGCTCTCTCAAAGAGAACAGCACTGTGCCGAAAAAGCCTTTTACGTAAATTAATCTCAGCTAAGACCCAGCTGTCAAGAGGGGCTACTTTGTGTCCTCCCTGTGTTTTGTAGAACTGTTGTAATTGTGACAGGAGGCGTTTGAAACCACTCAAAGATGTATATTGGCTAGAAATGATGCACTTAATGTCATCGGCCCTAGGAGCACCAATAATATATGTATTTCCGTTAATATTTGGCCACGGAGGGATATTTCTTTGCAGTGTATGCTGCGCCAAGTTTAAGTGTGTGCTTCTTATGTGTTACAGGTGCTGGCTAAGTGTGGACAATCACTTCATATGGAGTTTTATAGGACCTGTCACCTTCATCATCATGGTAAGCCGTTTTATTTTTTTTCTTTAAATGCTGCGACCGACTGAAGGGGCCGAGGGTTGGAGATGAAAGATGATAGGGACGGATAAAGCCAGTGGGATGGTTGAACTGAAGGAAAACTGCTGGATTTTTGCCCGACAGTGATGACAGGTTAATTTTACGCCTAAGACAGATTTTCGAGGCATCACACGATTCTCTCTGCCGCTTACCACCTGACAAGGATCTGGATTTGTTGGTCCACTTTAACCTCGCTTGCACACAATTCCCGTGACGTTTCACATGAAAAGCATCCCCCACTGGTCTTCCATTTCAACTTTTTTATGATATGAAGGAACAAAAACACACAAAGAAATGACCTTTCTGTCCTGTAGCTCCCTTTTCCAATCCTCCGCCACAGCCTCCTCCTCCTGTGTGTTTTTCAGCCTACAGTAAATAGCACGTGACCGTGTTGGGTAGAAGAAGAGAAGCAAAGGCACTTCTCCGTTTGGTCAAGGACCGTCAGGGGTGAAGGACGTATAGCATATCATAATGACATATGTCCCATTGAGCCGTGCAATTATTTACTGGTCATGACATTATTATCTGCCGCTCCATCAGAGAGGCTCAGAAGAACGAGACCTCAGGGATTCTTCCCTACCTGCGCAAAAAATAAATATAGCAGGTGGTATTCCTCAGATATACCCCCCCCCCCCTCCCCATAGCCCTCCGCAGCTTTGCCCTCATGCACACGAAGGGATAAGGAAGCTCTGCAAACTTTGCCTTGCCGCTGTGCGGGGAGGACGGGTGCTATTTGTTCAGCACTGTGTTCATTATCCAGCATAATGGTCGCTACTGTATCTACAGATGCAGTGACCTCTGTTCAACATCAAACTGACACTGACGGGGGGGGTCACCCGTTTCAAATTCCAGCAGGTCTGCGCACACCGTTGGCACACCGCTAGTGGTGAAGACGTAGCGCCGGTCTGTCTGTTCGGATAATGGACGAATGTGCTCACTGTGCTGCATTTCGCAGTTTTGTCAAAAAAAGAGACATTGCCACTCCATGCAGTATTTAAAAGGGAAGGACGAAGTACACAGAACTGATGGAGGCCTGTGTTGGATTGGAATGTGTTTGAATAAATGTTCGAATGTCTTTTTTTTCTTTTGCTTTCATTGATTTTCTTTCTTTCTTCGCCATTCTTTTGGATTTGTTTATAATTGAGGGAAAGCTAAGATTGGTTTGAAAAAAAAAAAAAAACTGGACCTTCCCTCCTGTCTCAGCAAATGTTCTGTCAGCCACACAGGGAAATGTTTTCTTCCCCCGTAAATTGCGCCCTTGTTGTTTTCCAATCCTTTGCTGCTTCCATTATGATTTGCATGAAAAATGCGTCTGCGGTGAAAATGATGATCCGGATCCCGGCGGTGATGACCGGAGAGACGGAACCGTGACCCTGTGAGGAGCTAATGTGCGTTGCAGCAGAGCTGCAGTGTGACAGCAATGACGTGTTTGCAGCACTGGCTGGAGCCTCGCACGCTTCTCCTCTGATTCTGTGCAACAATTGACTCAAAAAGACAAAGTACTGTGGAAAGGGGCGTCTCAGGGGAGCACGCGGGGAGGGCGAGGTTTGTCTGCGCCAGTCGTGACCCTAGTTCCTCTACAAATTGGCTTTGTCCTTGTCAATGAGGGAGAGCGAGAGCAGGAGAAAAGCTACATGGGCAAAAGAAAAAAGCCGACAAAACAGCACTGCTTTGGCTCATGTCTGGATCCCCAAGCCACCACCCAAGCCACGTTTGTGCCAAAGAAACCTCGGCTTTGACCTAGGGTGGTCATGCCTTTTCCCCCTCATCCTTTTGTTTATTATCCCTTTTATTTTTTCCTGTTTTTATTCATTTGTTTATTTATTTATTTTGCTCCTGGCTGACACAGGCCCTGAATGCTGACTGTAAACAAAAGCTTGGTGGAAGGCATTTAGATTCTTGTTCTTTGGCAGAGGTTTCCCTGTCTCTGGGCACTGGGGGTATTAGCTCCATGCAGGGGGAACATGGAAGTAATGAGTGGTGGGGAGGGAGCCATTAGTATGCTTGAGATAGCTTCTACACAAGGCCTCTTGGATCATGACACGTCAGGAGCAGTTCTTATCATCTGGACAGCTCCATCTGCACCTTTAATATTTTATCCCCAGCAGTTCATTTAGAGTTCAGTGTGTACACACACACACACACACGGCCCACTTCGGTACAAAAAAAAGCTTTCTCCTCGGTCCCAGTGTGGCCGGGTGCTTCTGCATGGTTGGCTTGCAGTGATGATTCAAAGGTAGAGTGAAGGATAGAAGCAAGGCAACTTGGCTCTAGCAAGGGAATCCCCCCAGGAAGGGCTGCGAGAGCATGTCGGCGGGGGGAAGGGAACATGTGCCGTGCTGCCGCGTTACTTTAAAGTACTGTGTCCCTCTCCTCTGTCTCATTGGATCCATGTCACCACTCCAGGCTGTGTGAAAGGTTTTTTTCTAAAGTCCTCGCCCTCCTGTCTGCTCGCCCCGATGTCTGACTCATGCAGGCGGCTGTTAGAAGTGATGGCTGATAGCTGCGAAACAAAACATAGTTCCAGCGCTGTCTGTGAACCACAAACTCTGGGATTTGCCCCACACCCCCTTCACCCCGGCTGGGTTATTGTGAGCAGCTCTGTGAGTTGATTGCATGTGGAGGGGGTGATGTATCGATCACAGGCAGTCTTTTGATGGCAGGGTGCTCCAGAACACGGACAATTTATGTTCAAGAGTGAACGGTCTGGGTCCAGCACACAAAGGTCATTCATTTATTTCATGCTCTCAAACTGGCAAAGCATCTACTTTTTTTTCTCTTTTGTTAACAAGATGCCAGTGAAATACAGTGTTTGGTTATTGCAAATGTATTCACGTGCCACTGACACACTGGCTATATTTCTTTGTGTTTCTGAATCTTTCATATGCACTATTGGTGGCACAAAACTTACATTTCTTTGGTATTCCTTGGCATTATTTATACATACCTAACTTGCAGTACAAACACAGTCTGGTTCCTCTGCTGTGAGTGCATGTACATGCTCTGTCAGAGACTACTTTACCCCAAAATAAATGTTTTTGAGGCAAAATGATTTGGTCCTGGCTGGCCCATCCAGCCTTTGTGTCTCTAAATCAAGGTATTGATTTTCAAGGTAGGGAATAAAAGCGCTCTGAAACACAGCACAAATCAGGTCGTTGTCTCAACCTGATATGTGCCACTGGCTCCCTTAATATTTAATACAATAAAACAAGCAAGCAAGCTCCATCTCCTTCTCCCTTCCCCTCTTTTTGCGTCAAGAATCGAACAAAATATACCATGTTCCCTCAAGCCTTTTGTAGCTGGTTACACCTTATAATATTTCACTATGTGCACAAAATGATATGCAGTTGTTTAGTACAACAAGAGGGTTTCTCATTCCTCCTGCTACATTTTATTCCCTTCTGACTTTGCCAGACTGCTGCTGTGTGGCTGTTTCTTTCTGTCTTTCTTTTTTTTTCTCTCTGGGATGGATTTTAATGCATTTCCATGCTCTTATTGATATAGAATGACACTAAATTTGGCGCCAGTCGGCCCCGTCTGGGCCCTGCTGGGCCCGGCTGGAACGATAGATGTTCATTGGATTAGTCTGTGGACATGCACAGATTTGAAGGCTCTCCTCTTTTAAAACTTATGGACAAATTAACAGATTTTTTATTTTTTTCTCCCTGCCCGCCATATCTTGCGTCATACATCTTCATGTATTAACACTGTCATTACTCTGTTTCGACAGCTCAATCTCATCTTCCTGGTCATCACCATGTACAAAATGGTGAAGCACTCTACCACCCTGAAACCAGACTCCAGCCGACTGGAGAATATAAAGTAAGTAAAGGGTCATATACTGAACCCTTCTGTTCTCCTGATTATCAGCAATTTAACACTGGTGTAATTCTACCACCAGCCCAAGGAAAACTAAGGCTCTTTTACTCTTGAGGTAATGCATTTTTGTTTTACTTTAAAACATTTCATGAGGGAAATTCTTTACCGTCCCCACCTCCCAAGGCAAATGTCAGCGCCGTACTAGAGAAAGTGACAATAGAATACGTTCATTTTTATTTTTCTGTCTGAAATGAATCCGGCGGTGGAGATTGCACAGTTTGCTAATGAGACTTGATGCCTACATACAGTCTGTGAGTCATCATTTGGCCCTTTTGTTGTTGTTTTTTTTTTGCTCTCCGCCACTAGCCACAGAATTGCACAGGCGTGACACACACTCTCATCACTCTACGGCTGCAGCTTAACTATGCGCCCGTTAGCTCTGCTAGGGCGGGGTACAGTGGAACCGTTACCATGTGTGTTCGCTGCTGGAACATGTCAAATCTTTTTTATGAAAGAAAAAAAAAAAAAAAGGTCCTCCCACCTCACACAGACCACCGCGCACACCAACCCCTTCAAACTAAGGCTTTCTAAATCTGAAGAACTTGCTTTGGGTTTTGGCACTTTGAGCGAAAATAACATATTCTTCTCTTTGAGGCAGGCATAAAATCAGGACCTGCTCCATTTTCACAGTTGCACAGCCCCACTTTATTCTGGACAATTCTATTTCACTTACACCACTCTGTGTAGCGGTGTTGCTGTTTCCATCTAATGTTTGTTATTTTTAATTTCCCCGTAAAGTGTGTGTGCAGCATCACGGCACTGTGGTAAAACTGGAAGACCAGTAAAAAGCTCTTATTTAGACTTAGGAAACCACAGCAGATTACGTGTTCTGAACACGGTGGCACTCAACATGCGTTTACACCTGAAATGAAATCCTTCCTCTAATGCTTACACTGTAGAAAGACATGGCGTATTAATTGCCGTTTCCTTGTGGGTTTCTCTTGTTTGTGTTTGTGTTGTTGTTTTTTTATGCTGACGTTTGATCTGAAAGTTGTTGTTGCACCAGTGTCATCGCATGTTGCATGAGAAGGCAAAGTTAACACGCACACTGTCCTTTCTCTTCTGCTGTCATTCTCTTCCTCTTTCTGTTCTGCGGTGCACACCAGTAATTATCGCGTTTGTGACGGCTACTATAATACAGATTTGCCTGGGTAAGCTTCTGCAATGTACCTCAGATCATTTATTTCACCCACACATTAAATAGCATGAATGCAAATTTGTTCACAGACAATGTGCTCTGACTTTAGTAATTGAATGATCAGCGGTAAAAAAAAAAAATACAACTCTGTCAGACTCTTTGCCTCCCGTGGTTTCCCTTGGATCAAAGTTGACGATATCATACTCGAATGCCTGCTAACGCACGCTGTTACGCGCTCTGATCTAATTGTGTTTCTCTCTTCCTGCTTATCATGCTCTCTAGCTATGAAGATAATAAACGGTTTATCAAGTAAGGATATGTTGCCCAGAAGTCCCGTCTTCAGCCCTCTAGTCGATCTTCTCTCCTCGTTTATTCTGTCTTCTTCCATTTCTGTCTTCCTTTTTTCTTTTTTTTTGTATTTTCTCCACTAGTTCATACTCTCCCACACTGCAGCTTCAAAGCTACTCATCCACTGTCCATGCGACTGGTCATTTTCACCTTGTCCATCATCTGGAAATCCACTGTTGTTGTTGTGTGTCTGAGCGCTGACCTGTGACTGCTGCCGGGTGTCTGAAGGCTCCCCGGGACCTTCAAACACCAGGCGGGGAATCTCCTTTTTCTCCCTTGAACTCTTTCCACATCTGCCTCGTTCTCCTCGTGCTCTGATAACACAATCACTAGATAAATATTAAGTATATAACAGTATCTAAAGTTTTTTTTTTTTAGCTTATTTTTTAACACGCTGTGCTTGTTGATCGTGTTCTGACACATCAGTTATTTACAGAAAACCAGATGAAGGTGTTGCATCCTTCTTGTCTGTTTGAAGGGGCTGCATTCCAGTTATTAAGTGTGTGTGTGTGTGTGTGTGTGTGTGTGTGGATGGAGGGATGTGGACGGGCAAGGCAAGCCAAGGCAGTTTTATTTGTATACCATAAAGCAAGGAGATTTAAAGACAAAGGGTTCATTCTGGATGGCATCGGTGTTGTTTGTTGTTTGTCCTCTCACCTGGTTTACAGCTTTTTCCCCCCTATTTTTTCATAGTTGTGGTGATTGCAAATGCCACTCCCATCATCGTGTGAGATCACTAAATGCCTCTCATGCTGGATTCGTCCTCCTTTTTTTTGTTTTTTTGGTCTCCTTTCTCTCTCTTTCAGGTCCTGGGTCATGGGCGCCTTCGCTTTGCTCTGTCTGCTGGGTCTCACCTGGTCCTTTGGTCTCTTCTTCATCAACGAGGCCTCGATTGTCATGGCATACCTATTTACCATATTCAACACCTTCCAGGGGATGTTCATCTTCATCTTCCATTGCCTTCTCCAAAAAAAAGTAAGTTCCTCATCATCCGCAAAGCTCAAAGACGAGTGATCGTCTCTTTCAAGGCGAAACGTTCCCGAACGGACCTTTTTTCCAGCGGAATGCAGCAAGCAATGCCACATCTTTGCTAAGTCATATGCAAAGTCAACGACGTGCCGAAGGTAAACACCCGGCTGTTTGCTCACGCAGGTCCGCAAAGAGTACAGCAAGTGCTTCCGCCACACGTACTGCTGCGGAGGGCTGCCGACCGAGAGCTCGCACAGCTCTGCCAAGACCTCCGGCACAAGGACCAGCGCGCGCTACTCCTCCGGCACGCAGGTACACCAGCGACTTCACACAGCCACACGCTCTCAGCGCAGCGCTCAGTTACGCCGCCGTTGTCAGCCCACGGTCGTCCAACGACACACAAACACGTACTCGTGTCACGACTAGCACGACGGAGACAAAAAAAAATGCACGATGTGCGTTTTGGGCTTCGGAGGTCGATCTTATTGGAGCAGCATCCGTTGTACTGCATGAGTGACTTTCTTCTGCTCTGCTCACTTAAGCACTTGCTTTTATCTTTTTCTCTAACTAACATCTTGTGCATGGGAAATAGTACCGCACAGTTTAAAGAGCGTTGCAGAGACAGCCCCCCAAAAAATAGTTGTTTTATCCCGCTATTGATAAAAGTTAACAGTCCTTAGTAGACAAGACGTCTAGATGTGTTGTGGCTGAAGCGGATAGATAGAAAATCACTGAGTTGATGAAAGGTGAGTGGGCTTGTTTAAAGTCCTAATGACTGTCCCTTGTTGACCTGGCAGAGTCGTATCAGAAGAATGTGGAATGACACCGTAAGAAAGCAAACTGAGTCCTCCTTTATCTCAGGTGACATCAACAGCACCTCCACCCTTAACCAAGGTCAGTTAACACCTCGTAACTCTCCACACGCACACACATGCACACATTTCATTTCATTATCCAGCTAAAAATACCTCCCGTAAGTGCCGATGATCTCGCACCGCCGTAGACGATCCTAATCGTAATAAATGCCCTGAGTTTGAAAAGACAGACCAGTGCAAAAAAAAAAAAAAAGAAGAAGAAGAAAACCTTTAGTCTAGGCTCCCTGTTCTGCCAGCAAAGGATTACAAAGATCCTTCGTCAAATTGTCTGCGCTCTGTCATCCTGGCTGCTAACGTCACTCTCAAATTGGGGCAAGACTAGAGGAGTTTTTTTTTTTTCTTTCCTAAGTGCCTGCTGTCTAAAGTTCATAACCAAGCTCAGGGGAAACATAGATAAAAAAAAAAACTTTTATTTCAGGAAAATCTTAACACGCAGAAAGAGGCAATTTGTTCCCCTTGCATGCAAGGTGACCTCTGTTACTTTACAGTGGGATTTATGTGGTAGGGAGGGGGGGGGGGGAAACTGCCATTTATTATTTAGCTTGAGCACAAACATGATGATGAGAAGATGATGTTCAACTCTGACTGACCCAGAGTGCTTAGTGTGATGTTAGGCTTTCTGCTGCCTCTGAAATGGCTTTCCAAGCATGCAAAGGAAGGGAGGGTTTACTCAGAGGTGGTTTGACTCCCCTCCCTCTGTCTACCCTCCAACCGACTGTTGCTGCCCTTCTTTGCCTCAGCTTTCTGTTTTGCTGCCATCTCACACGTGGAAAACATGAAACCCGGGGTTTTATTGCATGTTTTGACTCGCCGATAAAACTGTAACAAAACAGAATTAAGTTTTTTTTTTTTTTAATTCCCTGCAGTATCGTTTCCTGGAGATGTTAATGTAAAGGTTGGATATTGATCACTCCCGGGTGCAGTAGCCTAGTTACCCTGGAGTGTCAGTACACTAAAGGAGGGCTCTATCTCTTGGAAGCACTTCCCTGTCATTAAGAACCTCCCTGGAGCCTTCCCAACATGACAGATTGGCATTTAACACAGGTGATAAATGGCAGTGTAAAAACCTCAGATCCCTAAAAGACAGGGCGGGGGAACTTAAAGTAGCTAGAGGTCTGTTAGGATATGGCCAAATTTGAGCTGGAATACGTCTTGTATTTAGATGTTTTTTAAATGAATGGGTGGTAAACATGCCGCAACTTGCATTGTGAATTACGGTGAATAGTTGAAAGAAATGTAGCTGATGGCTGTTAAATGTCCTGAAGTACCTGCAAACGCTTTTGCAGAAGTAGCTTTTTTTTTTTTGTTTCTTTCTCTCAAACCTGCATTCTTGACTTCCAAATAAACGGCCTAGTTTTTCAGATTTCTTTTTTTTTTTTTTTTCTTTCATGAAACTTTCAATCACTGTCGGCTGACTGCGTCACACTTAACTCCTCTTCTGTCTTGCCACTCCAGGAATGACCGGGAATTATCTACTAACAAATCCTCTTCTTCGACCACAAGGCACTAACAACCCTTATAACACCTTACTGGCAGAGACAGTCGTGTGTAACACCCCCACGGCTCCAGTGTTTAACTCGCCAGGTGTGCTTACTTAATACTTTGTCCAGCATTTAGGCTTTTCTTCTCTCTTTGCCTCCTTTTGTTCCTCTCCCGCTTTGTCTGTTATAAATGAAAAGCAGGATGTTCTGCAGTATCGCCTTTCCTTCTGAATCATTGTCTCCCCAATGCTCGATACGGTACATACTGCGCACACATGTTTTCATGTAGAGCAGAGATTTTTTTGTGGCCTCTTCTATTTCTCTTATCCACACTGAGCGGGGACATAATGATTAAGATGGGGCAAGAGATACTACACGCTCTGCCTTGAGATAATGTAAACAGTGGTGTCGACCCGGAGCTGTTGTATCAACTCCATGACTATTAAAATTTATGCTCCTGAATTTGTCAGGTGCTTTGTTACTTTTTGTGTGTTTTTTAGAGGGAGCTTTCCCATTGAAGAGTGTTGCAGTGAGATCTAAATCTATGCTTAATGCAACTGTGGCATTACATTGTCTGTGTATAGACATATCTGATAATAGCTGATGTATGAAAAACAAATTAAAAGTTACTATATCGCGATTGCACATGCCATTTAAGCATTTAACTGTTTTGTGTGCTATTATATCGTTAAATTGAAATGGCATCTTTTTGTCATGTTTTGTGCTTTTCCCCTACGCTTCCCTCTAGTGACCTTCAGAGAGACAAGTATGGGAGTAACTCTTAACTTTGCCTATCAAATGTAAATTCTTTTCAGCATGCTTATTAAAATCAACCGAAACCCCGGCACTATCACTTGGTTTACTTTAGGCCATTAACACACACTCAGTGAGCAAGTGGTTCAAAAAATGATCCACCCAAATTCTACTCTAATCTGAAAAGAAATAAAAAGATTCATCTCATCATTTGACGAAATCTTCCAGATTTAAAAGCTTTATTGCAAATGCCCTTTACTTTGCTTATCTCCTCTGCTTGATTTGGGATTTTCGACCAAAATGCGTCATTTTTTTCTGGCAGAAAGAAGCATTTATAGAGATATCTAGATTTTTCCTCCTTTGTTTTCTTTTCTCCCAAAATGTCTTTTCTCCCGTGGCATTCGGCACTCTCAGTGTCCCGTAGTATTCCCCTCACACCTCTCCAGGCAGCACCTGTCCGGACACTAAATTGCCTCCTGCAGACACAAACACATGGATGTCATGGCAGCAGCTGTTAGTTTTTTTTTTTCTATTTCTTTCCCACGACTTTCTTGTCATTTATCTTCATTTTAAATAGGCTCTGTGAGAGCGGCGCTTTTATCATGCCTCCTATACGATCAAAATCGCTCCCCCATAAATTTGGGACAAAGACAAACGTTGCTGTAAAATATTCTATTAGTTTTCCCCTTAATTTTTTACGTCTGCGTTCTTCAAGGAGGCGTGTTAGTCATAGCAGAGCACATTTTTCCCTTATCTCCTCTCTCAATCATGGCGTGGCTAATATTTATCCTTAGTTCTGCTGTTTTCCATGACCTCCATGCGCTGAGAAATTCCTAACATGACCTCTGCAGCGGCTGTGTTATTCTTGAGCTGTTCTGCTAGTGGCCGGGGTCTCGCTGGGAACTGTCACTGTGACGGATGCCGAGTGCTGGGCTGCGGGCGAGCGCTGACCTTTGACAGCTTTGGGTACACAGGCTGCCAACTAACGGACAGAAAGTGTACCAACACAAATAAAAACTAAAACGAACAAAAAAAATCTTTTGAAAAAGCAGCTGTAGGCTAATCTACAAAAGTAAAAGCTATTTAATGCTTTTTCCATTTCATTTGCTGAACCCTTGCTCTCGCTAATTCGCAGTTGAGACTTTTGCTTTACGTTTTGTTGTTCTTTTGAGTGATTCTTCTTCATGTTACAATAAATCATTTTACTTTTTCTTTTGTACATCAGCTGCTCTTAGACCAGATAGCCTGAGCAGACAGACATGATGTGAGTTGTCTAAAGTGAGTCTTTTCACCTGCTGTGTGTGGTGATGGTGGAGTGCTGCTTGTGGGCTCCCCTTGTAGTGAGAACAAAGATGGCTGCCCCATGTTGATACATGAACACTTCCCCTCTCTGTCGTTGTCATCTTTTCCCATCTCTGTCTTTTTCGTTCCCTCGGCACATCCAACCTATTAGTTGCTAGACGACCTTTGAGTGTTGTAGCTTTCCCGTTTATGGCTTCATATGGCTTCGTGCACATCTACTTTTGCCCGGTGTGCTGTGATGGTGAATAGTGTTCCCAGTATAGTGTTCCCAGTATGTGTCTAATGTTGTTTGGGATCTTTTTTTTGGTTTTGTTGTCACATTTGTGGCGCACTAAAACACACAACGTTCTGCTTATTATGAAGCCATTTGTAAAAGCGGCAGTCAAAACGTACATGTGAGAAAATAAAATGATTTCTTATTGCATATAATGCATGCACATATATGTACGTACAGTACAAGTCAAACATTTGGACGCACTTTCTCATTAAATGATAAAATGTGTCCAAACATTTGACTGGCACTGTCTATATGTATGTATATACATATGTATACATGTGTATATATGTGTCTACATACAAGTATATATGTATGTGTATGTATATGTATATATATATATACATAACGGTGCCTAACTGTGCCTAACTAACACATTTACAGCATGGCTTGGTTTCATTTGAGTTTCTATGTGAAACCGCATCCTAAACAGCATTAAACTCACTTTTTCTCCTTTGTATCATTGCTGTTAACTAATGTATCATCCCCTCACATGTCCCCCTCTTTCCAGGGCACTCACTGAACAATGCGGTGAGGGATACAAGTGCAATGGATACTCTACCGCTAAATGGTAACTTTAACAATAGCTACTCTCTCCGCAATGGGGATTTTGGCGACAGCGTGCAGGTGGTAGACTGCGGCCTCAGCCTGGACGATGCTGCCTTTGAGAAAATGATCATCTCTGAGCTAGTACACAACAACCTGCGTGCCTGTAACAAAAGCCACCACCATCAGCAGCAGCAGCAGCAGCAGCAACAACAGCAGCAACAACAACAACAACAACAGCAGCAGCAGCAGCAGCAGCAGCAACAACAGCAGCTGCAGCACCACAGCTTACATCATCCACCCCACCATCAGCAGCCCCCGCTGTACCACCGTCACCACCACACGGAGCGGGCTCCGCCCAAGGTGACAGTGGTCGTCGGCGGCAGCAGCAGCGAAGACGACGCCATCGTGGCCGATGCCTCCTCTTTGGTGCACGTGGGCGACACCGTGGGCCTCGAGCTGCACCATCAGCAGCAGCTGGAGGCGCCGCTGATCCCCCAGCGGACTCACTCGCTTCTGTACGCACCCCAGAAGAAGGTGAGGACCGATGGGGGAGTTGAAACCTTTGTCAGCCAACTGACACCCACCAACCCCGATGATAGTCTGCAGTCCCCAAACAGAGACTCCTTGTACACGAGTATGCCTAATCTGAGGGACTCTCCGTACCCTGAGAGCAGCCCCGACGTGGTAGAGGAGCTGTCCCCCTGCAAAGGGGGTGAGAATGAGGACGTTTATTACAAAAGCATGCCTAACTTAGGGGCTGGCCACCAGCTCCAAGCCTATTACCAGATAGGCCGAGGGGGCAGTGATGGTTACATTATTCCTATCGCTAAAGATGGCTGCTTCCCTGAAGGCGATGTACGGGAAGGACAGATGCAGTTGGTGACAAGCCTTTAAATTTTGGGCTATTTAAATCATCACAAAAAACTCCTATTGCCCTTTTGCAGCCCTGACCTCTTGAAGGACACACCAATGAATGGAAGATAAGTGATCGTTTTATTTTTGGAGAGAGCTAAGAAGCCCCGTCATGCACACTAGCCATTTGCAAACCCTTTTCCTCCAGCTGCGCTGCAATCTCCTCGCCCCTCAGACATCCTCCTACCTTCCCTGCAGACCAACGGACTCGATGCACAGTGATGGCAGTGCAAAGTTTAAATGAGACTGTACATAAAATGCAGAGTAAAATTTCAATTTTAAGAGACAAGCCAACTATGTATTTAAATGTGCTGCTGCTGTTTAGAAAGGTTGAAGGTACAAAAATGTAAAAAAAAAAAAAGGCAAAAAAAGACAAAAAAAACAAACATTACTGGCTCCATCATATCAGCAATTTCTCGGTCAAAAGGTTGTACATACACTTTCCAACATCCTTGTTGAAGCCTGTTTTCTATTATTATTATTATTATTATTGTAAACAAAACACCCCCCTGGACCAGGATGTGGACTAAAATGTTCCAGATCAGACTGTCAGAAAAGGAACATAAGCTCCTGGTTGCCCGGCGTCACTCCTCCACCTTGAAGTTTGGATTGTATAACCACTAGCAATCAAGCCCCTGGCCTTATATTTTCTCAACTGTACAATGAACTGTTGTCAAGGAAAATGGCTAAAATATATATTTTGTTGTATTGCTAGTGTAAAATAAAAAATCCTGGGAAGACGTTAATATGAAGAAACCTTTTAATTCAAAATTTAACGTTTGAAAAATTATTATGTGTAGAAGTTGCACATATGTTATACAGTGTGTTTATGGTTCAACACTTCTTTCATAATAGTGTGTTTGAACGTAAAGGTTTATGAAAAGAAAGGAGGATTCAACAAATTGATGCGTTATCACTTTCTTCCACTCGTGAACAGTGTTTTTTGCTTACTGAGTTCCATTGGTCGCGCATTTTGAATATATGTCTATATGATTTTGCCAAAGTGGCATCAGCTTCAATAGGATGGGAATGCAAATTCCCAGTTATAGCGGTTCATGCATTGCACATTTCCGTGTGTAAATCTGAATGGAATAGATCTTTTAAACAGTCACGGCAGAGTGATGGGCTTTTGACAAAAAAGTTTCTATCATAAATGTAGTTCTTCCTCCTGGGTTTGGACATTTTATTTATTAAAAATCTAATCCAAAAAATAAATGGGAAATGTGTGAATATTTTCCAGCACTGGTATACATGATGTACTGTAGCTCATGTTTTTTATGTAAACCTGTTACCTACCAGGTTCATCACTTAAGACTGATGTAAAGTTCAACACTTGTATAACAAATAAAATAAATGTGAGAAGTTTTGTCAAATGCCAGTTGCTTTTTAATGGTTTGTGTTTTAAGTACTATTTGAGAAAAACTAAAAAAGAGGTTCAATTATTTTGCTATGGACAAAAGACGCTTTTGACTCAGGTTATAAGTAAGTCCACAGCACCTTTAGAGGTAAAAATGGTGAATTATTTTCTGGGGCATTTATTGCTTATTGTTCTGCTTTTTATACAAGCGCTGCAGAGTAGAGAGAGCTCATTTCACCGTATGTGTTAGAGAAGCCAAATCTGTCCATGTGATTCAAAGATGAGAAACTCAGGTAGGAAAATTGCTTTGTAAATGTTCCTCTGTGTGGTTGTAACACTAATAAAGGTTGGGAAACGACACTGGTTCACAGCATTGTCCACTTAGTATATTATTGAACGAGCAGTAGTCCTGGCACCATTAACAAACCCGGCACGACAGAAATCTTGTGAGATGTTCGCTTCAATGCCTCTGTGGGAGTGGAAATGTGTCCACGCAACTAACAAGGGGTCAATGTTACACTTGGTTGCGGTTGTAGAAATATATATTACACCTCATATATTGGAATATGACACGTATTTGCACTAATTAATGCCTCCAGATGAAGCGCACAGTCACTTCTTGTACGGTGTATGCCTTCAGGTAATGCTAATTTACAAATCCTTTTAATTTAACACCAGTTGAGGCGGACTGACAGCTACTCAGCGGGGTAGCTGGAAATTGCACTGTTTGCCATTTGGCATTGAAGGAAATTACTCAGAACTGAGCAGAAATGCACTTTATTTCCGAGCCGGTGCACATAATGCTGCGTGGGCTGCGTGTTGTTTTGACTTTTTCCACAATTACGTGACATTAGGCGCAATTATCTGGGTACAAATTGTCAGAGAAGAATTATCTTTTTTTTTGTGATCTCCTGTACAGACCCCTTGAAAGTCAGTTAGGAATCAGGTGTTGAAGTGATTGTTGACTCTTCAAATGGCAGACATAATGACGTGCATAGTAATGAGGGAAAAGTTATATTGATTTTTACTCTGAATCGCTACTCAACTGAGCACCATTTTATCTGCGTGTGAGAGTCCAAAAGTTGGAATATGCTATTTAATTTTCAATATACACCTTTTAATTGCAAATGCTAAAAAATGTTTGGTTATTCTGTAAATTGAAACTAAAGAAATTATAAAGAGACACTTCATTTGGACCTGTCTTGAAAGAGCATAGAAAAATATTGTTGAAAAGTATGTATCATAATTTGTCTCTGTCCATTGTTCCATAGAGCGTAAATCACAATAGTCACTTCATTTTCTGTTTTACTGTCATTGGGGAAAAAAGCTCTTCGGTGCAGGATTCTAATGTGAAGTCCACATTAACAGCAAAATGTAACAATTCTACACCAATAATACGCAGTCACTATCCACAAATATAGACTAATAATAATTCTCAGCCATTTCTTCACCCCTCTAACACTGTGACCTAAGACGAGGACAAACGTGGCCGGTGAGCAGGTTTATTTTCCTTATTAAGGGCCGCTATTTGTCTGTGGACTCGGCACCCTCTAGCTTTGCGCGAGGCCTCATCACCAGGCAAGAGCCTTTTCTAATTCCCCGTCTTCTGCTCGGGGAGAGACTCGCCCTTTGTCAAACATTGATTCAGAAGTAGGCCAGGAGCCGAGGGGCCGAGAGCTCGGCTGCTCCCACAGAGGAGCGGACCGCCCCCTGCAAACCAAGGTAAAGAATGCTGTCAGCAGAATCGCGGTGAAACGTCCAAAGATGAATGTATTGTTGACCAAACAGAGGCGTGAGACTTCATATGTGGACAAACGGGTATTTTGTGATTGTTGAATCAGAATTGTTGAATTTTAAGGACTAAGGAAGGGATTTCGTTAGGATACTATATGATGCAATTGAATGAAATACGAGGTTTTTCCCTGTTGATTGAATATTTCATACGTGTTTGCATATATTTTGGATCCCCTACGGCAGAAAAATATTTTTCTAAAGTATTTTGTACTACAGTCACGAAGAGGTTTATCATCAAGATCAGCTGTGACCATATTTGCCAACTTTAATTAGATAATAATTTTTAGTCTACATCCCACGTCAAAAAATAAAACATTTACATTCAAACATTCAAAGTCCAGTAATTGATTCAAATTCATAGAGGTGGATTAGTTGTCTCTTCAGGGCTACATTCCGGTATTTGTTCAAAGTCAAATGTAAGAAGTTCAATTTCAAATCTTCCTTTGGTATTCCTGAGAATCAATAGTGGCTGCAAAAGCAACTTCTGCAATGAGTCCTGTGAATGGAACACAGCGCCAATTATAGATGCCATCAACGTGGATGAAAGTGATCGTGAACGAGCAAAGGGAAACCTCTCAAGCCACAAACAGTAACTGGCAGCGCAAAAGTAACTTTCCAAACTCTTGTGGTCAAAGGGGACCCTTCAACGGCTCATTCTTTTCTTTCCCCAGCCTCTTTTGTACTGTCCCCAACTTCAAATGTGCAGCTTTGCGGCCCATGGGCGACTTAGATCCAGTTTCGTCGAGGTGAAAAATCCAATTAACCTGCAGCTCCAGCTGCCTTCCTTATAATTCCCTCCCATAATTATGAAATTACCAGATGCAGGATTTCAAATGAAAAAGGAATGAGAGTGACTGGCTCCGAAAAAAAGAGATGAAATAAACCGTTCACAGGCAGTGTACAGAGTTCTAATTTACCTCAAGGGGGTACAGCTAATTCTTCTGACTGGGTTTGAAGGTGAGACCTGCAGAAGCCTTTGTAATCTGAAAAAGACACATCCCAACAAAAATACCAGGATGGTTCGATCCTGAAATAGCATGCAAGATTAACAGACTATTGCACGTTGTGCATGTAGACATGTACACTTTGAAGTGTCAGTATACAAATGCATAATTTAAGTCTTAACTACTCAAGGGTAAATAGAGGGACTGTGAGCGCTTAGGGACCTCTGGCACAGGCAAGTATTCTAGAGGACTGTTGGTATTAAATCTTTTATTTGAAAAGACAAAACGAATTGAAAACACCTTCACATTTCAGCTTCCTCCATTGCCTCATCCTTTGTGTGTTCAAACGAGGAATTATAGGCAGAACCCAGATACAGCATAGAATAAATGTATATAATGTACGATTCTTTATTGCACCGACATATAATGAATATGCATCAATGCATTATTTGCTCATTAAAGCCCAGGCTATCCATTCTTCCCAGGAATTTATTTTCCAAAGAGCTACTGTGTCTCAGGCAGCCCTTATCGCCCGCAACGCCATCGCAATACTCAATGGACATCAAAAGAAATGCAGCACGCAAAAAACATTGTCATTGATTTCGGTACAATCTATTCAGTGCCGGTTGCGGTTAACCCACACACACACAAAACAAAAGTGTTATTTATCCAGCAAGATGAAATATGATTTGATCTTGCTGCTAATACACATGCACACACCGTGATTCACATGGCTGTCCTGTCCTCTTTGTTTAAGAACAAAGCAGAAATATTTAGAAAATGTAGTAACCTTCATAACATAGCATTCATTTTTAGAGATAGTCGAGATGAATCTGTTAAATGATTGCCTTCGGTCAGTTTATGTCTGTCTGTGTATTTGAACACAACATACTAGTAATAAATGTGTCCTGTATTCGAAGAGCTCCGGCTCACTTTGCCTCTAAGCAAGTGTGAAGTTGATCGGATGAGCGGCTGTCGAGAATTTCAAAGGACGAACACAAATAAGTTGCACCTACACGCAGACACTCGTTCTATTCTAGTCCGATATTTCTGACTAATGTGTACGGATCATCACGCCTCAGAAATATCAAATGGCCCTGTGACAGCCCACTTGCCGACGTAATGCTACGAGTTATCGCATTGCTTCTCACTAAATAGGCAGCATGCATGCATTCTTTACTTTGTTCTGTTCCTTCCCAGCAATGAGGGCCTGTCTGATAAACTCGCTGGAGGGAAGCCTCGAGCAATAACTACGGGGTCTCCTGCCGTGTGCAAGAATCCGTAGAAAAATAGAGGAAACTTACCGAGGACCTACTGTATGCTTAGACACGTGACAACTAATCCACTATGCTTCAGTATCACACAGCATCTACATCTCCATTCAGCAAGAACTTCTGATTTTTCTTATTTTTTTAGTTCAGCAAATTGAGAAAATGCACTTTGACTCCTAAAATTAAGTGTAGCAGCAATCTTAGTTTTGTTTAAATGCAGATATCTATCAGACACAACAGAAAGTTACTTTTCCTCTCAGGTAGATATTGTTCTTTCTGTTGCGGTATAGATGAAAAGAGAGACTGTCCTTTGGAAAATCAAAGGATCAGTAATCAATGTCAGCAGCCTTTTCTCCGATCAAAGACACGGAGCAAAATGCTGAGGCTCTGCCTGATCCCCCTCTACACTGACAGCCGTCATTACACCATGTGACGTTTCAATTATTCATAAAAAGATTCAATACAACTCACAATCAGATGGAGATTATGTGAATGCAAAGCATATAAAGTTCTGACCAGAAGCTTTTCGCCACCATTTCGTCTATCTTTAGAACAGAAAGAAATCATTCACTTGCAAAAGGAGACACTTCCAATTTCCTCTGGTTGCTGCAATGCATTTTCGTCTAATAAAAGAAAACCAATGACAGCTAGAACCTGCTCTCATGTGGGAGAAATAAAACATGAATGATTTGCTCAAAGGAATTTTAAGTGCACGCTAAAGTAAATGAAAACATAAACTTGTAAACTCTTAATTGTTGGAGCAATCTTTGTGCAAAACTTTATACTTGATGCATTTTACTTTCTATTTAAAATTATTAAGGCATCGCGATCTATTGATTGGACATTGGCCATGAGATCAAAGCATTAAGCTCCCTCACGTGCAAACCACGAGCATTCACAGTGGGACATAAATGAGATCCATATAGACGCCAATGGGCCCAGTATTGTTTATAATTGATGGGAAGAGGGAAAACAGTTGAAACCTTGAATACAGCTGTGCAGTACGACTGAATATTGATCTAGAGTTTCCTTGCTGGTGGCAAAAGTGAAAAGAAGACAAGATATACAATATTTTATGAGTGTCTCTGTTGGAATGTTTCTCATTAGGATTCAGGGGGCTTTTGCAGGAGGAACCTTGCTATGGTAATCCTGGCCAAGTGGTCTCACAGGGTCCCGGCAACAGTGAGCAAGACTACAGCTCAAAGAACTTTCCTCTGCTTTTTCACGTCAATCTTTGTCATATTGCTTCCGGTGCCTTTGTGTTGTCATGGACCTCTTTACCACCTCTTTGTTATGACTCTGAAATATGAAGCTTGATCCACTTCTCTTCTCGGGTGAAAGTGAAACTGAAAGACCTTCCT